CAGATGTAGACCTCTCAGCTCCTTCTCCAGCACCATGTCTGCCTATACACTGCCATGCTCCCTACCATGATAACAATGGACTAAACTTCTGAAACTGTAAGCCAGGACCAATTAAATGCTTCCTTCCATGAAAGTTGCCTTGGTCATAGTCTCTTCACAGCAACAGAACCCTAACTAATCCCTTAAAAAACACAAATAAAGGCAAAATATAATTTTTTTCAAAATATAATTTTTAAAATCAGATGTTATTGCTATCAAGTCCTCCAGCCTTCTACAGCTCCTTGATGCTATTTGCTGTGGGGATGCAAACAGCCCACCAGATCCCAAAGGCTTCTTCTGTTCCTTCTTCTAGTCCAGTGTTTGATCCTCATTCCCAGAGCCCTTCCCTAGTTCGTCTTCCTCTCACTTATCTACCACAGTCCCGTGCTCACACCTTGTTGGACATTGCTTAGGCGTCTGTGCATAAACAGGTTAGGATTCTTTGACCACAGCTGACAGAAATCAGCTGTAACTTATAGAACGGAAGAAATAAAGTGGAAACGAACGGCAACAACGAAGCCTGGCATAGTGGCACATGACCATAATCCCAGCACTCAGGACACAGAGGCAAGTGGGTCACAAGTTCAAGGCCAAACTGGGCTACATAGCAAGATCCTGAGTAAGAAAGAAAAAGAAAAGAAAAAAGCAAGAGCTGGGAACATATCTCTCTGTGCTTGCCCAGTTGTTGTATGACATTGCCCGGGGAGATGTGAATCCATGTCAACGAAAAGCACACCCCAGCACAAGTGACAGCTCGTGCAAGCTGCTCCCTTGGACTCCCTACCCAACTGACTCCAGGAGAACTCTGAAGAGAAACTGCTTTTGTAGTCTTGGGGAGGGAATTCCAGAGTCTTTTAAGTTTTGTGAGCTCCCTGAGTCTTGTGAGCCTCCCCCTCCCTCTGAGAGGATGTTGGGTCAAAGGGAATCACTATATGTGTGCAGGGTCCTGGGTTTGAACCTCAGAACATAAAGAAAAAAGAACGAGAGAAAAGGGAAAAGAGAGAAGAGAAGGGAAGGGAGAAAGGAGGAGAAGGGAGGGAAGGGGAAGGGAGGAAAAAGAAGGGAAAGGGAAAGGGGAGGAGAAAAAACAGAAGGGGATGGGGAAGGGGGCAGAGGGGAGTGGAAAGATACAGTCCAGAATTCAAACACAGTAAGACTAGAAAAAGAACAGAGCAAAGAACTTCTGAAGATCCTTCTAGAACACCTTCATCAGATGTTACAGCTATCTTCTATCCTGATTTGACTCTGCTTAAAATTTCATTTCAGAATCTAAAACCTGGCCAACCTACATGATCAAGGGGCTATAGCAGGCTACCCTAGCAAATGATGTAGCAAATAAAACCACAAGACACCCAGCTAGTCTTGCATTTCAGCTAAATAGAAGCAATTGTCTACACAAAGGCATCCTGTGGAGGATTGCCTGAGATCATCTTTCTTCTTCCCTGAGCTCTGTGCATACACTCCTGGTGGGTAAACTTCCCTGGA